AAATAAGCAACCCCCCTAAAAATTGACCTCAAAAATGATGACGTAGGGGGTTGCTTATTATCGGGACTTTACGGTATCTTCTTTTACTTATTTTTTTAGAAGTATTTTCACTTATAAATATTATCTAGTCCAACTCTTCAATTAAACACAGTTACTGATTTTGTTCTTATCATATTTTTAATTAATTAAATATTATATTTGGTTCATTAATTGTCCATTTAATTAAGAATAGTAATAATATAAAGAGAAAGTTCTCTATTTTATTAATAACTTTGACTTCTATTATATTTATTTTAGTTGTTACTGTAACTAATTAGTACTTTATTTCAACTTTTAGTTATATCTTTTTACTAGGTTCTTTTTATATACACTTAAAACAATTATAATGATAAAGAATTATTAAAAATATCTATGATAATAAATTCAATGAATAAATTAATATACAAATATAAAAAATTAGAATTAAATGGTTATGAAATATATAACTAGATTACGATAATAACGTGGTTGAAATAAATATAGAGCGGAAATTACGACTTTCTTCTGTACAAATTTCTTTCATAAAAAAGAAAATTTATCATCTTATTCAAGGACGATATGCGTATCGGTATATGAAATATATGGAAAGATTAAAATTACACAGAAGCTTTTGATATATCACGCAGGCTTGGGATCCGGTTTTTGCTCATTTTTTAATTTTTTAACCTGCAAACACTTGTAATAAACTGTCAGTGCTGCGGCAACAAATCCTAATAAAACAGTACCTCCACTAGCTATGCCAACAATAGCGCCTGTGCTGAGTCCACTTTTTGATGAGGAGTTTTGGTTGCTTGCATTACTTGATGGTGAGTTGTCACTATTTCCCGAACTGCTGCCATTAGTGTTACTGCTCCCATTAGTGTTAGTACTGCTTCCGTTAGTATTAGTGCTGCTTCCCGAATTGCTATTACTGGGCAACTTCACAGAATAACCATAGCTTTGACATGTACTAACGGCAGCTACAATGAAAGTATATAGATGAGTTGAGAAGCTATAACTAGTTATATAAAGGAATCAAGTATACTTACTGGAGAGTGACATTAAGTCATCGTAAGCGTATGCAGCGCAATAAGCACAACTATAATAGTTTTAATTGTTAATTAGTATACACTTTTTATCCAAGATCTTCCGTTTATACTCTTCACATACCTTCCATATCCATTAATGAAATTTTGATTACAGGCACATCTTGCTTGTGCAGCTGATGGTAAAGCTTCGAATGAAAGAATATTATTAACACCTGCGCATTTGAATGCCGGATTGAGTACATTGTCACAGACTTGGCAATCATCTTGAGCTTGAGTATGCACCATCACAGTTAAGCACGCAAGGATGGCAGTATATGTGAGATTAAATTTTACCATTTTTTAAACAGTAATGGAAGAGCTCTGTTAACGTAAAAGTTGCAGATTAAAGAATTGATTGTTAAAAGTAAAAGCGGCATATTCTTTATATACATGTGTAATAACTGTTGTACCTTGTTGCATTAATTTATGTTTAGGGGCTGATTTTGAAGCCAAGTATCTGTTGTGCATGTATAACGATAAATTTTTGAACATCTGATGTATCAATAAAAATTACTTGAATAAAATTATCATCCAAGCTCGACAACCAAAAATTACTAGGCTTTTCGACATTTATTTTATAAGAATGTGTTTATTTACTAAGCCCAGTTTTGACGCAAATAGGGTTTATATACACGTAGCGTACCCCGCGTTTCAAGCTACCTCTAAATAGCATATAGATACAATTACATGTATGTATTGATAATATTATTGCAGTTTCTTGTTTCATCACTACAAACGTAATATACACATGTACTCAAGCAAATTGTCCTGCAACAATATGGCTAGAAAGAAAATTCAAAATTTAAACGATATTAGACTTCTTAAGCAATACTCTAATTACATGTACTATATATACACGTCATGTCATGACATGTTTTTCCATTAATACATGTAGTACATAAATGTCTCTTTATCTGATGTCTAAATTTGGTGGAATGATAAAGACAATTATGCAATATGTATCATTTAATGCAAAACAAAACGTCCATCGTTGTAACCGTAAACAAGGATAAGATCATCGCATCTAATTTATAAATAACCAATTATATAATTTGCTGAAGAAGAGTAACACAAAACACAGACAGTTCTCGGGATCTAACAATTGTTTAAGGTTTCTCTTCATAATATGAAATGTTACTTAAAATGCAATAACTTAATTTCGTGCAAAAACAACGATTCAATTTGACTAGTCAAGAAAAATCGAATGCGTATATCTCAGAAAATAAGCTACTGACTGATGTATCCGGATATTTCCAATGGTCTTTGCCATATACCCGGGTGCTAAGTAGAGATCATAGGGAAATCTACAAGTCAGCAGTTTATGTGGGTAGCTTATTTTCGGGGTGTAGCGAAAGAAAAGTTACGGGGACACTGCAGATCATATATTTTTTAGCATATCGATACGATTCGCATGATTTTGACTAGGCGAATCAAATGGTGAAATAAAATAAATTTATTTTTTTGATGATTATCATTTTTGTATCCAAAATTGATCGTGATCGATTACTTCAGGACGAAAACTGATCAATAATCAAAATTATCATTAAATAATTAACAATAAGCTAGGAATAAAATGATTAATAATGATATAGGAATATTGATAATTAATTACCAATACTTTCAAAGTCTGATTATCATGAATTAAAGCCTACATTCATTTTTTTAAAAAGTAATGTGTTATTTATATAAAAACCAGAATCAGATTAAACACGTCAAATTAACTTTTATTATTATCAAATCACAAATATATTTAAGTATTTATTAAATATAATGCCAAAAAACTGGTTTGAATACAATAAATATTTTTTAAATTTTGCATAGAATTAAAAAGAAATATAAGCTAATTTTTAAAAAGGTTTATAAAAAATTTAAATTGAGAATAATAAAAGAATAAGATCAAGTAAAGTAAATTTATTATTTTTATAAACTGGCTAGATCAATTTTGTAAGTCTTTAAAAAATTTATATATTATATATTATAAAAATTCACAGATGGAATTTTTAAAATATTAAAAAAAATATTATATTTTTAAGATAAAAACTATATAAATTTTTAGAAAATAAAATCAAAAGCTAAATTATTTTTAAAATTTTATATTATAAACAAATAATTACTTTTGTATAATTAATAATATTATTAAAAATTTATAAATAATAAAAATATTTATCTAATTAACTACAAATTAATAATAATAATAATTATTTTTTTATATAATATTTAGTATATTTAATATAATAATTTGATTATTTGATATAGTAATTATAATTTAAATCTATAATCAAGCATTTAATATATTAGTATAATATTTGAATTCTTTTATAAAAATAAAATAGTTTTTAATTTAGTCTTTATTCAATATTTCAAGATATAAACTAAAATATATATAGTAATTATATATATAAATATATTTAACTCTTTAATTATATCAAGTTATAATAATCAAAATAATATTACCACTTTTTTATATTATTAAACTTTATATTTTGATATTTTTATTAGAAAAAAATTATTATTTTTAAATAAAATAGATATAATAATATAAAATTAATTATAAAATAAATATATAATTATATAAAATTTTATCAAGTTAATTAGTAAAAAAATATTTAACTTAAAAAAATTATATTAAAAATAATATATATTATAATAATTCTTATAATTTCAAATTTTATTATAAATATAAAAGAAAAATTTATTATTTTTAAAGATTAATATTTTATTTAAAGATATTTTATATTATTATGACAAATGTATTTGAATAAGATTATTTATAAAATAATTAATAATAATTAAATAAAATTTATAATATAACTAATAATTTAAAGTTTATAATTATTTTTTTTATTAAAATATTCAAATTTTAAACTTTAGATTATATATTTTTTTAAAAATTAATTTACTAAAAATTTATAATTTTAATTTAAAATAAATTAATTACTTTTATATTTATTAAATTAAACTAATATTTTTAAAAAATTTATATATTAACTTTAAATAAAATTTATATAATTATAATTTACAAAATTTACTTTATATATAATAATACAATTAAATTTTTTAATATATTATTTTTATAAAATAAATTATTTATTAATAAAAATTCTTAATATATTATATAATCTATTATGAAAATTTTGATATATCAGATAAATATTAGATTATTTTTTTAAAATAAAATTTTAATTTTGTTTTGTTTAATTAAGTTATTAGATATTAGAATTTATTTTAATTATAAAATTATTTTATTAATGATTATAAATAAGATAAATTATAATATGAACAGTTTTAATTTTATAACTTATGATTGTTTTTATTATTTAAAAGTATTCAAATCTAGAGTTAATTTACAGAATAGAGAGATCTTATTTATAAGAAATAAAATAAATATAAAATATAAATAAATTAATAATAATCTATAATTAAAATATATATAAATTGAATCAGAATTAATTAACTTAATTTGTATCTTCAGAAGGTAACTAATCATAATTTAATAATTAATAATATAATAAATA